CCCCAAAACCCCAAAACCCCAAAACCCCAAAACCCCTTCCAAATGTTTAAAGTAGAATTTTAGAAAATAGTTAAAGATATTAAAATCAAGATGGAAAGCAGCAGTGCTAGAGAAAACTTGCAGAAAGTTCATGATGAAGCTATCGCTTCTACACACTTAAAGACCCTTCTCTCTGATGATGAGAGGAACTCAAAGCTTGTTGCAGAGCATGGGGATATCACCCTCGATTATACTCATACAAAGATAGATTCACAAACTTTGGAGTAAGATATTTTCCTGACCCATAGAGCTTTGGTTGATTTTGCTAATGAATCTGGGCTAAAAGCCAAGATCGATTCCATGTTCAAAGGAGATAAAATTAACAGCACTGAGAAAAGATCTGTCCTCCATGCAGCTCTTAGGATGGCAAGAGACCAAACTGTGGAGGTTGATGGCAAAAATTTAGTTGAACTTGTTTGGGAGGTGAGAGACCAAATCCAAGCATTCTCCCAGAAGATCAGGGAAGGAGATTTCAAAGGATACTCAGGGAAACTGCTTAAGAATGTTGTGGTCATTGGAATCGGAGGAAGCTACTTGGGTCCAGAGTTTGTATATGAGGCTTTGAGATATGATTCAACATGTAACCAAGCCGCTGAAGGAAGGAATTTAAGATTCCTAGCTAATGTAGATCCAACTGATTTTTCTAGAAGTATGGAAGGACTAGATATTGAAGAAACAGTGTTTATTATTAACTCAAAGACTTTCACCACTGCTGAGACCATGCTGAATGCTAGGACTGTGTCTGCAAGCATTGTTGATCATTACAGAGCCTCTCATCCTGATGTTGAAAAATCTGAATTCATCAAGCATCATGTCATTGCAGGAAGTACCAACATCTCTGCAACTAAAGAATTTGGAATTGCTGAAGAGAATGTCTTCGGATTCTGGGATTGGGTAGGAGGAAGATACAGTGTCTGTTCAGCTATTGGAGTCCTTCCACTTTCTATCCATTATGGCTACGAAAATGTTAGCAATTTCTTGGATGGAGCTAAATCAATTGACGACCACTTCAGAGACACAGAAGGTAATTATAATGGCATAAGAGTATAGATCTGACTCAGAATCTTCCAGTATTACTAGGAATGCTGGGATATTACAATACCTCTGTCTGAAATCATGCTGCTAGAGCTTTGCTTCCATATAGCCAGGCTTTGTTAAGATTCCCAGCTCATATCCAACAAGTGGATATGGAGAGCAATGGAAAATCTGTCACCAAAGAAGGTAATTTAATTTTTATCATGCTGTAGGAGAAAGAGTGACTAGCCCTTGTGGACCAATAGTTTTTGGAGAGCCAGGAACTAACGGCCAGCACAGCTTCTACCAATTAATGCATCAGGGAAGAATCATTCCAGCAGAGTTTATTGGATTTATCGAAAGCCAAACTCCTATTGATAGAGATGATGAAGTAGTCTCAAATCATGATGAATTAATGTCAAATTTCTTTGCTCAGCCAGATGCTCTAGCATTAGGAAAGGACCTCGATCAGTTGAAAGATGAAGGTGTTCCTGAAGAACTTCAACAACACAAACTTTTCGAAGGAGATAGGCCATCTCTTAGCATCTTGTTCAAAAAATTAGATGCCTTCTCGTGTGGACAGCTTCTTTCCTTATATGAGCATAGAATTGCTGTAGAGGGATTCCTCTACAATGTAAACAGCTTTGATCAATGGGGAGTCGAGCTTGGAAAAGTTTTAGCCAAAGATGTCAGGAAGGTTTTCCATACTCAAAAGGTAACAGTTTCACCAATATTTTCTTTGGATCCAGATTAAGATCTCTAAAACATTCCTGAATTTTCGAGGATAACTATTTCTGTTTTTAATTATTGCAAGTTTCTAAATCTTCATATAGAAAGAGAAGAAGGAGGCAGATCTGTCAAAATTCAACTCAGCTACAGCATCTCTTCTTAAGAAATATCTGGGATAAGCTGAATTAAGCTCTACTCTTTAACTTAGTTGGAAGATTCACCAAAATTTTCAATGCTGTTTAGCTTAAAAGGGGTTTTGGGGTTTTGGGGTTTTGGGGTTTTGGGG